AAAAGTGGTAGGTGCACAGGCGTGCGCAGGATTCCCGTTCAGGGTGGAGGGGCGAACGTTCATTGCAGCACCCCTCCTCCCTATTAAATCAGTGTATCAGTGCCCCCCTCCCTATTAAATTAGTCAATGTATAGAGCAGATTTAGCGCTCCCCTACCAGATGACTAGGAGGGGACGCCTGCTTCCTTTGCCCGCCTCGTGCGGACGCCTATGGAGGGCCTTTGGGAGAAGCTCTTCGCTTTTGTAGACGCCTTTGCAATCACGTTTTTCAAGTGGTTTAGCTACAACGAGCTTCACAGTGACAACTTGGCGGAGTTTGGTTTCTGCATAAAAAAAAAAAAAAAGTTGTCACACTGGGCTGCGTACAAAATAGTCTAAGCCTCACCAATCAAGTGACCAAGTTTTTTTCTGCTCACCTATTTGCGTTTTTACACAAAGGCACTCCACAACGGGGGAGCATCTTTGGGTCAACAGAGAAAGTACCTGAAGCTCAGGCGCGTCACCTATAAGCTTGCAGCGCAATGGAAATTGTTCTGTGGGGTGCTTGTGAGCTATAAAACTTTTTTTCTTGGAGATAAAAAAAAGGCGCGCGACCAATTATTAAGGATGCCTTTTAAACAGATATAGTGAGTCACTACTCGGAAATATGTTGTATGACCAGTGTGCAGCAACTAAAAGGTTTTCATCCAGATGCCACTCGTGATTCTCAACTCTGAGTATGACGTTTTGAATGAGGGGGCTTTATTTACAGATTAGCGCTTCAGGAAATGATGGTTTGCCAGGAAAGGTGTGGCAAGCAATGGCTCACAACTGAGTTTATCATTACACTCTGCTACCACTTCACATCGATAAAATGTTTCAGTGCCATCACACGCTCACTTTCGGCACCCTGACGATATTTCTGTTCTGTTGCGCACCTACGTAGGCATCCTGTAATTCCAGAAGCTAATTACATATTTTCTCGGTCGCCATTTGAGGTCATGCACGAGCAACAAAATATATTTTATATGTTTCACATTTTCCGGACGCGTGGTTGATTTCCGTCTTTGTGCAGCGCATCCCTGCCTTGGGTAACGTTGGATGTATTGATGGATGGATTGATATGGCTGTACCCTTTAGATTGGGTGGTGGCTTACGCCACAAAGCCATAATACTTAGTGAACCAAAAACTAGATTTTTTTTTTCTTTAAATAGTGAAGTTGGGGACTCGTACTTTGCAGTGAAGGGTTTAATTTTCACTCGTGCCTTGACTTTAGCCTCCAATCAGATAACCTCCTTCTAGTTAATTCTACCCACTTCAAGTCTATTTTGCACTCCCTGTCCCTAAACCCCAGTGCTTTGAAAAACTCTGCGCCATCATACTGAACTACAGGGTGAAGCCCTTTACAGAACATTTGCAAGTGTTCGGCGGTTTCTTCTACCTCTCCACATGCACTGCATACCGTGTCTACCCCTTTGTATTTGGCCCGATATGTCTTGGTTCGCAATACTCCCGTCCCGGACTCAAACAGTAGAGAACTACTCCGAGTATTATCATAGATCCTTTCTTTGGCAATTTCCTGCTTAAAAGTTCGATAGATCTCTAGTGTGGACTTCTTAATAATGCCAATTCTCCACATATCGGTCTCAGCTTCCTTCACCTTCTTCTTAACCGCTAATTCTTTTTGGTTTGGCCCCCTGCTTATTTCTAAGTATTTACCAGTGAATTTTCTGGTTCGCTTCCTCCATTTTGTATCGACATTCTTCATGTACAAGTAGCTGAATACCTTCCTAGCCCAACGCTCCTCCCCCATTTCTCTCAATCGCTTCTCAAATTTTATCTTGCTGCTAGCTTCCCTGCCCTCAAATCATGTCCATCCCGTATCACCTTGTACTCCCTGATTTGGTGTATTCCCGTGAGCTCCTAAGGCAAGCCTACCGATTCCACGTTGCTTAATTTCTAATCTTGCTTGAACTTCTGATCTCATGCACAAGACCGCATTGCCAAACGTCGGACCAGGAAACATGACCCCTTTCCATATTCCTCTCACAACATCATAGCTACTGTAATTCCACAGTGCCCTGTTTTTTATCATTGCTGCATTTCTGTTACCTTTAGTCGTCACGTATGTTTCGTGTTCCCTTAGGTACTTGGTCCCATTGCTCATCCATACACCCAGATATTTGTATTTATCTGTTATCTCTAGCGTGACCTCCTGTATCCTAAGATCACTACCTACATTATCATTAAAAATCTTGACTGCTGATTTTTCCTTACTGAATCTGAAATCTAACCTATCTCCCTCATTACCGCATATGTCCGTCAATCTCTGCAAATCTTCCTTGTTGTCGGCCATTAGCACTATATCATCTGCATACATCAACGCTGATAGTGCCTGGTTAATGAGTTTCCTTGTTTGACGAAAGAGAGGTTGAAGCCCCGTCCACTTCCCTCTAATTTGGCCTCTAATCCTTGTAGGTACATCATGAATAACAAGGGTGACAGAGGACAACACCCTTGCCTAAGCCCCCGTTTTACCTCTGCAGGCTAGGATACCTGTTTTTCCCACTTTATAACTGCCTTGTTACCTTTATAGATATCTTTTAAGAGATTAGCGACTCCATCTTACACACCTAGTGTGTCTAGTATTCCTCATAAGTCCTCTTGAATCACGCTATTGTACGCTCCCTTGATATCCAAAAATGTTAGCCACAGGGGCCTGTGTTCCTTTTCTGCTATTTCGATGCACTGCGTCAGTGAGAACAGATTCCCTTCCAACCTCCTGTGTTTCTGAAACCCATTCTGCAGTTTCCCCAGCAACCCCTCATCCTCTATCCATGCCTGCAGTCTTTCCTTTATAATCTGCATGGCCAATCTGTGGACCACTGATGTCACTGTTATAGGATGGTAGTTGTTTATGTCAACTTTGTCCCCTTTTTTTTTATAGATCATGCTCATCCTGCTAAGTTTCCATCCATCGGGGCCCTCATCATTGAATATTATTTTTCTCACTGCCTCTCTCAAAGCCTGTCGAAACTTCGGACCTAATGTCTTTATCAGCATAATTGGAATGCCATCTGGGCCTGTTGATATACTACTAGGAGTCCTCTTCTCAGCCCTTTCCTACTCTTGTTGTGAAAATGAAGCCATTGCGCCACTTCATTCATTCTTGTCTATTGTGGTGCATAACGCACTTCTTTGCTGAAATTTTTCTGTCAGAACAGCACACGTGCAAACGTGTGCCAGCGCCACCTGGCGATTTCCTCCCAAGGCGTTACGTGCTAGCCGGCGCATTCATCACACTTCCCTATTCTAGCCACTGTAACCAAAGGAAGAGGCTTCGAATGGCAGCACATCCCAAGCTAGAAGAAGCGCTATTGCGCTGAATTGCCGTTTCGCGCGATGCACGTTTGCCCTTGAGTGGCCCCCTTATCAGCGCTCTAGCAGAGAAGTTCGCGGTGACCATGAACAATGACTCCTTCAATGTGTCGGAAGGCTGGTTCGACCACTTCAAGGAGCGACACGGGCTGATGTTCCGCAACGTGTGTGGTGAAAGAGGTGCGCTTGACTAAAGTGTTGTGCAGGACTGGCGATCTAGACTATCCGCGCGTCTTTCTACGTACGAGCCGTGTGGAATTTTCACCGCTGATGAGACAGCTCTGTTTTTTAAGGCTCTGCCTGACAAGAAAGTCACGTTTAAGGGAGACCCGTGCGTCGGTGGAAAACGAAGTAAAGAGTGCATGGCAGTTCTTCTGGCTGCTAGCATGACTGGCACAGTGGGGCTGCCACTGCTGGTGATCGGGGAGGCTGTAAAGCCAAGCTGTTTTAAGAATATTAAGCAGCTGCCTGTCGGCTACCGGTTCAACAGAAAGGCTTGAGTGATTGCCAAACTCTTTCAAGCCTGGCTGCATCAGCACGGGCCAAGGCTCGGAAGGTGTTGTTCGTGCTAGACAACTGTAGTGCGCACACAAAGGTGTCCGGGCTCAAGAACATTGAACTGCAATTCATGCCTCCGAACACAATGGCTTTCCTGCAGCCAATGGACCAGAAAACCATACAGTTCGTGAAAAGCCACTATCGACAGCAGGTGCTCAATCAGGTGTTGGTCTGCCTGGAGTCAGGCAAGAAGTACAAAGTAAGCCTGCTAAGCGCAATCCACATGCTGACATACGTGTGGAACAACACACCACCTGCAGTAGTCGCAGACTGCTTTAGGCATAGCGGCTTCGTGCACGACGCTGCTGATCCGGGGGTGGTGGTCGATGAGGAAACCGGCGGTGAGCAAGACGGCCCCTATGTGAGCATCATGCTAGCTGATGTGCCCCTGGGTGATTACTTCGCAATTGACAGCGATGTTGCCATGACGGGCACAGTGATCGACAGCGATATCGTCGCCGAAGTCTTGGACGGCGACGGGGATTGGCTGACGAGGACGTAAGTGATGCTGGCGAGCGCTCACGCCACACTACGACAGAGGCTGCGCATGCGTTGGCCGTTTTGGAGGATATATGCATGCTTTCATTTCATTTCATTTTATTTCCTTAAAGACCCGCGAGGGGGTATTACATTTCCTTGGACAGTGTGCGTGGACCAAGCCACCTGCAGGAACTTGGCAAAACTGTGACTTTGTCGCACATTGCGTCTGTGTAGCAAACCGCGATCACAGATTTTTTAAAGAAATAAAAGTCTGATGGTGTAGGAGGCATTTTTCAAGTGTTGTTCGTACTCGCGATAATTCATACCCTAGCTTAATTTGCACATTCTCTCCGGTCCCGTGAAGTCCGAATTAACAGGGTTTTACTGTATCTATGGCTTTTACAGGTTAGAGTGTCAGGAAAGCTATGAATAAATCAGCACTCTTTAGGACCACTGCTCTAAGTGCAGTCCAGTTGACAGAGCTTTGGCCTCACATGTTTTATAACAGGTATTCTCTATTAAAATGTAGCCCAGAACAGAATGAGTATTCTATAGCCTTGCGGTAATGGGTGTATCAAGTAACTCCCCTCCTTCTGACACCCCAGGCACGTCTACCGATTGGCCCGCTCTAGTGAGTGGGGAGACCAACTGCCGCTGGACATGCTGCCACCTGACGAAGAAGGAACACCACTGTGCGATGGCTGTGCTGAAGATGTCGGCATTGACACAGTTGACGATGTATATAGCAAATAAACAGTACAAGTAACATTGTTAATCAGTAATACTGGTCTGGGTATCAGTAGGCCTGGATTTGCCTGGATGAGCCCACCACTAGCCACATATGAGTAGATGAGCAAGAATCGTATTCTGAGGCTGTGTGTTGAATTTATCTATAGTTCTGTCATTCTGCAAAAATTAAGTGCTGTTTTTTCTGGCTCTCTGCCTTTTCAATACTATGCAGTGAAATAGGAAAACCAGTTCGCTTCCATCAGCACATTTATTTGACCTCTAATTACTCAATCACCTTCATCATCAACCTGACATCACCCATTACAGTGTAAAGGCCTTTCCTGTGTTTTGCCAAACAACACAATCTTGTGCTTGCTGTGGCAATGTTATACCTGCAAGTTTTTAATCTCATCTGCCAACCTAACTTTCTGCCTACCTATCAACGCTTGGCTTCTTTTGGAATTCAGGCTGTCACTCTCAATGACTAGCAGTTACATTGCCTTGGCACTACATGCCCTGCCCAGGCCCTTTTTAGGGAATTTCGGGCTCTCGGCGTGTATCGTCCATTGTCTGCTAATGTGACGGTCGATTTGTTCAAGCGCCAAAGACAAACCGCCTTCTCCCACCAAGAGAGAGTTTGCTCTCTCTTGCCAATGCCTCAGCGTGTGCTTTGTGGTGAGAGAGAGAAATAGCGAACGGCGCGCGCTGACTGTAGAAACGCCCCCCCCCCCCTCTCCCGCAAGAGACAACGCGCTGCACAATGGTTCACCGCCCTCTGGATCCTTAACTTGCAGTGTTGTGCCAGTGCGAGATATCTAGTTGCGCGTAGATTCAACGACAAAGATTCGCAGCGTGCGTATTACCTAAAAGCGGGCTGGCTGCATCCTTCGCCCCTCTCTCGTGCCCTGTCCGCGCGGCGGGCAGACACGGCGCGGCGGTTGCGTGGACTGCCTCCGTCTGTGGTCGCGGCTGATAAGCACGTGCGCGATAAGCACAGTGAAAAGCACAGCGCGCGATAAGCCAGGCGCGGAAGGTTCTTAGCTTGAAAGACTACTCCACCGACGTACTTCCGTCATTAATATAACTGTAAAACACACGCTTAAGAGGTGGTAAAGAAAACGACCAACAAAGAGAAAGTTCTCTCGCCGAAGGTCGAAGCTACGACCTCTTGCTCCGCAGCGCGCGGCTCGAACCGACTCTGCCACAAAACGTGCGCTCTTCAGACTAAAAATGGTGAGTTATTTATATACATCATTTACCGTTGGCAGTACTCAAAGATCGGCGGTTGCAGCGTATTCTTGTTCGCAGTGGCAAGAAAGGCGCGATGGGTCCGGAGGGTGCGTTGTCGTCGCGCCGTGCATTGCGCTGCGCACGCGCTTATTTCGCGACAGGGGCGGTTTGTACGTCTTGGGCTTTCACCGCAAGAGTGCGCTGAAGTCGCAGAGAGCATGAAGGTCACTTCGCTCGCTGAAGCGGTCGCGCTTGCGAAAGGAGTCCGCTGCTCACACAAGAGTAACAATAGACAGTTATAGTTTAGCGTTGTTAGCGTGATAGCGTAGGTTAAGGGAATGACGCTACCGTGCAGCAAACGTTCGTTGTAGGTAGCGTGTTGTAGTTTAGTCAAATAGCGCTTACGTGGTTTGCGTGCCCCTAAGTGGAATGGTGGCGCCACCTATTGGAAGGCTAATAAGTTAAACAGTAAAGATGAAAATAAAACGAGAATGTTTGCCTATGCCACCGAGCGAAGCATTGTTAGAAGTTGATTTTTGTGATAATAAAAGTAAATAAGTATGAACCACGCACAAAACGCTAAAACACCTACGTTGCCGATTTGTTTACATTGATCTTGTAGTTAGGCCTAGGCGCGTTCGAAATGGGAAGCTATCTCAAAAACTACGCCAACTTATCCGTAATACTCAGTCATCGAAGCTAACTGAAGGCAAGCGAAGCCACTTTGAACAGTCGTTTGCTGCGAACAAGGTGAATCTTTCAACAACTACGCCAAAATCACTTCGAAGCGGGCGTCCGAGAGCGCCGCCGTGTTTACGTACGCTACGTGCGCCTACGCTACCTTAAATATGAAAAATACCGCGCGCACGGTAAGCGGTACGCGTAACGTACGTATCTGCGCATGCGCACTTCGATTTAGTATCACGGTAAGCCCGGTATACTATAACTCTCTAATTCTGACAGTGTTAGATCACGCTCGTCCCGTGTATGTCATTTTCGTGCGACCTTTCTGCTTGAATAGTGAGCTGCAAGTCTCGAGCTGCTTGCTGTTATTCCCGCGACGTTTTTATAGCATTCCTTCGGCCTTATGGCGAAACACAAGTACCTCTGTGAAAACGCGTTTCGCTGTCGTGTTGTACCGATTCCTATGACAGAAAGATGAGTAATGTTTTCACTTTACATTAAAGTTTGCTCTTTGTGAACGCTGTGGGTAATGTAGACCAATTCGCAGTGTGGTGCGAGTTGCACTAAAGCCTAGTTCACACTGAAACATCCGCTTTCTACAGCGACCGAAATTCCCCTGCCGCCGAAACGCAGTGTCGTTCGCACTGGACGCGCCCCGCGCCACCGAATATGCCATCTACTACGGAGCGAACGCGGGATGGATGCGCTGTCACCCGGTTGTTGTCGTGGCTCGCAAACGCTGCTACGCTATCCGGTGGTGTATACTTCGACGATTTTCGTACGCAAGAAGCAAGAAAAGACAGTACTGCTTACTTTGCTGTCAAGTGGCTGTCTTGTAATGCACAAAGAGCAGAAAAACCACCAACGGTGGGTTCGTTTTGCTCTGCAAGACCGCAACAAGCCCAGTCACGCCAACAGCAAGCTCGGTCACCTTTTTCACGAAATACGGAGGCGAAGTAGGCACAGAGTAAGTTAAACTCCCGTTGGTTTTAACATTCAGTTACGTGCACTGCGGCATAACAAGTGAGTAGGGCTTGGCCGCCATTTTTCAAAATTTCTTGACTAGCGCTCCTATTGGTCCGCGGTGACCGATTCGGCGGCAGACGCCGCAAAAATCGGTCCGAGAGCGATCGGCGCGGAGAGGGCCCTTTCGGCGGATCTCGCCGCCGCTGAACCGGATTCGGAGCACTTTCGGCGGCCGGAATGCTCAGTGTGAACGCGGCCTAAATTCCTTTCATCTGTAATTGATTACTTACAATCAATTACAATAAAATGCGATTAAATTACTCGGACCGTTACGGTTTCGAAAAGTTATCGATCGTATTACAACGTTACGAGTAAACGTTGATTACAAGTAATCAATCGCACGTAACGCGTCGCGTGCAACTCCGCTTTTTAAGATGAACTGGGTGATTCCACGAGAGATCGAACATGCGTGTCTGGACGGTATTTTTGTTTCGTCTGTTTGTTTATATGTTATGTAACGATACTTGAAGTGCACGGAACCGCAAATTTCATTTCCAAAACTGGTTCCAGCGCGCCACGAAAATGTTTGAAGGTGGCGGCGCGCACGTCCCGCCATGCCTTGCCGCGACATTTCCCGATTCCGTAGTCGAATTAAACGCGCACTGTAAACATTGTGTCAATTTTTTTTCTTGTTTTGATATGCATCACAGTAAGTTACATCCACGCTTTCCTTGAGCTGTCTGCAGATACCAAAAAAAAAAAGGTTTGAAAAATAGTAAACTCGGTCAAAAAAAAAAAAAAACGTTTGGTATCTTTGATGCGCCTTGGCGCATTTCTTATTTTACGCAAAAAATTCAAGAAAATGTTCCAATATAGAGCAATATATTTTCTACATTCCTACAAAAGATTGTGTTCCTAGACGTAGCGTGATAGAAGAAAAAGTTCTTTCGAAAAAGCTTATTTTCGAAAAGGAAAATAAAATAAAAAAACCTGGCTTCAATTTTAACCAGTATTTTTTATCGACATCCGCTCATGCCGCTCAATACATGGTTTGAATATTATATGTCCCCATTTTCTTTGTTCACGAAATAAAGCGGTCAAAGTTGCCTTTGCTGAGGGTGCTTGGTTCATGGCCATTACTAGTTGTCCATGAGTCGGCATTCTACTGAAACCTCCTATTCTATTATTATTATTTTTTTGCAGCAGAAGAACTTCATTCTGTTAGCTTGCGTTGAATAAGATTATATCGAGCTTTTATCAGATCTAGGGCGCCCCTTGTGTGCCAGACCAAAGGACGGCCACCCTCCAAAGTGATAACGCGTGCCCAGTTTGCAGCGTATACAACGTGAACTCAGTCAACATTATTTTGTTGCAAGACTATGCGAATCATCGCGAGAGGATGTTTTGGGTGCCCCTGCCACAACCAGCCAGGTGCACACAGTACAACTTGAAGGAAGCCTCATCCGTAACTGCCGGCTTCCATTTAGCAGGTGTGCCGCTATGGAGCTACTTTCTCACTGCCCTTTTCCCTTGCACACCGAGCAGTGGGGTGGAGGTGGTGGTTAGGTGAAGAAAGAAAAAGACGATCATTTCTGCAGCCCTTAAAGGGTCCCTGAAATGGTTTGTTTTTTTACATTCCGTTGTTGATTAGACCACTACTGGAGCAAATAATTGGCACCAGAGTTCAATCGCAACACCCATTATTAACGTAGCTACGATTACTAAAAAGTACCCTCCTCCTCCGCTCCGCTTTTCACCCTCTACTGCCCTCAACTCTTCCTTCGAGCGTTCGGGGCTAAGCTCCGCCTTCACGGCGCCTACGTCACGATGTGGCGTCAGACCGCATGCGCGTAAATCCCGCTGCCGATCCGATACCGGCAGTCTGGGCTGCATGTTCCACAGCCAATCATATCAGCTGAAAACGATGACGTCAGTGGGGCAAAGCGTGTCGCTTGGTGTATGGGTGGTTGAAAACGCGTTCTGCCGAGTCGCAATGATCTCCAGCGATCTGGAGTGATTCGCAGCTTTAAAGCGTTGTAATAAATTACACAGTTTACACAGAGAGCTAAAATCGGTCTCTAAATTAACCTTGGGAGTTGGTCTACCGGCCGAATTTGTTTGTCAAAGGTCGTCAAAACCGTTTCAGGGTCGGAGCACGGCGCAGCG